AGACATTGACATCAATGTTCCAAATGTTCAAAGCAATAAAGGAAGTGGAAAGAAAAATAGAATTCAAAGTGCAGCAGAAATAGCATATAAAAATTCAAACAAGCAAACAAGAAGATGCTCAGGATGCAGAGAAAGGGCTCATCATAACTTGCGTACATGCCCAATAAAACTTGCAGCAGAACAATCATCAAAAGTTACATAGATAATTACTAGTTTAACCAGTAATGAATAATTCAAGATTTTTTTTCTAAATAATATACTTTTTGTTTGGTACACTTTACTCTTTTTGTAAAACAGAATTTACTTTGATAATTCTTTCTTTGATTTTATTAGTAGTACAACAAATCAGTTTTCTTGAATTTTTTTCTATCTTAAACCTTCTTCTATGTAACTTTATGTCTTTTATGATTACAAAAGTATATAATCACTTATGATTAAACAAAACATATGAAGTGGTATTACATAATCATTTATGATTATACAAATAAAAATAATTATATAATCTGTTAACTGTTATTCAATACATGCAATCATAAAGGATTATGTAATACCACTTCATATGTTTTGTTTAATCATAAGTGATTAAAAATATGATTACATATAAATAACATCAAAGATCTACTACAAAACTCATTACATATAACCATATACAACAACATTGTTCCTAACAAATATACAGCATTGTTCATAAAAAATATAAACATAACAATATCCATCTAGAAAATCAAATTCTAATCACCCATCATAGAATTTGATCAAACATGATAAAATCTTCAATAACAAATAATTTCACAAGTCTCAAATATCACGTTCCCCATTTTCCAAGATTGTTGTTCTTCATATTCCTAGCTAGATTTTCATACAAATTATAGTGACTCCAAAAACACTTCCACCATTACTTAGAAAGATTATCTCCATTGAACATACAAAATCTTTACTACATATCTGATGTAGAGAAATGTTGTTCATTCAAAAGAAATATTCTTTAAATGAACAACATCCCTCTACTTCAAAGACATCTAGTAAAGATCTGATATGTTCAATGAAGATAAACTTTTTAAGTAATGGTGGAAGTGACGTTCTCGGAGTCAGCTACAATATCTATGAAAATATAGCTACAAATAAAAGAACAAGAATCTTGAAAAAAATGGGGAACATGTAATTAGATACAACAAAATTAGTTCTTTTAGACTTATAGACTCCATATTTTACCTGAAACAAAATGGAAGTTGTTTACATCATAAATAAGTAATGGTGATATATAAAAGTTGAAGAAATTAATAAACAAAACTAACCATTTGGAAGTATACGGACTCATCTTTGAAGAAATATAAGGGGTAGCACGAGGCTACTCCCTTTATACAAACATAATCACTTATCAAAAATACACTATATGGCTGTCCCAATCAGTTTTCATTTATAAAGAAAAGATTATTCACTACAAACACTAAAAAACAAAACTAAGGGTGTGTTTGGTTGGGTGGAATGGAATAAGAAAGGAATGGAATGAACTAAGTAATGGAATGGACGAGGTAATGAAATGATTCATTACCATTCCATCGTCATGTTTGGTTACTCTGATGGAATGGAACGTGTCATTCATCCATGTTATTTGGTATGTACAAAAAATATAAAGGAATGGAATGAAAATAATTTACAATGACAAAAATACCCTTCCAACACAAAGATCACATAATTCAATAAATTCAACATTATCTAGTCAAAAATTTTAGTTTCTATAACTAATAACAAAAACTATTACATAAACATAAATGGTTTATAGAAATATAAAATTTTATTCATAATAAAAAACTTTGTCATAAAAACATATCAAGATCAAACCAACATTAACAAAAAAAATGATCGTAATGTTCATAACTTAAAAAAAAACTGCAATATCATAAAAAAATCATATAAATAACGTCAAGAATCATCTTCAAGCAAGTCCTTTACCCATTCTAAATTGTCTTCGTCCTCAACCGTAAAGAAGATTACCATCAACTCATCATTCTTTGAAAGCATACGCACGACCTTGTTACAGTCACAGACAGTTAAACCAACAACTTTTTTCATCTCAGAATACAGTTTTTTACGTAACTCTTCTTTATCTCTCTCGATTCCAAAAACTGCATTGAAGGTACTTGTTGCATTAAAGGATTTCAAATGAGCATAAAAGTGATTGCAGATGCATTATCACACCAAGTCATGAGCACTTTTAAAAGGACTACTTAATGGATTTAAAAATAGACTACTAAAAGGATTTAAAAATTGGATGTTCATTTTAACATCCGCCCCTGCTCAAATTCTAATGCCCCTGATCAAAATCCAAATTTGCAATCCTATCATTGTTTAATTTGTGTATGTATGTTCATGTCAAACATATAACTGCAATTTTGCTATGTAAAAACATATAACAGTAGCTTCAAAAAGATAGATAACAAGAACACAAATAGCAAATTGAATACATAATAATTTCAGGAACACAAACAAGTGAACAACCTTATCAGATGAATGTCAATAACAAAGAATACAACAAACATAAAAAAAAATAAAAAAAACTAACCTCGAAATTCTTGGAGCTGTGATGAATCTTGGAGTTGTGATGAAATATACTTGAAATTGTCTTGAAGCTTTGGTGGTCGATCACGTAATGATTCACAGAAAACAATTTTATGATGATTTCGTTGGAAATTAGTCGGCATTTGTGAGGGAAAACGCGACGATTATGATATCCAAGTGCAAAATCGATATCTTTTCCTCAATCAATTGAAGATGTGATGCTGATTTTTAGTAATATCGTGCCTACGCTTCCGATTTGAGAGGCTGGTAGAGGGCAATTTCGGAAGATACAATTATAGGGAGGGGATGGAATGAAAAAAAACGGGGGTACCCCATGGAATGAAAATCCCGTGTTTTGGGGGAATGAGATTGCTTCAAGAATAGGGCTTTCCTTTCCTTATACGCACCAAACATGTTTTTTTTCATTACCCCTGAATATCCCATTTCATTCCTCCCTTTATTCTTGCCTACCAAACACCCCCTAAATCTTACAAAGATAAGATTCTGCATGGTGATGTATTCCATGCAGTAAAGATAAGCTCACTTATCAAGAAAAAGATATAATAAATTATAATGTGCTGTACAACAAATATAATCATTTATGATTACAGAAACAAAAAAAAATCGATACAATCACTAATGATTACATATAAACAACATATAATCAATACTAAAAACATAAATTACATATAAAAATATAACATAATCACTTATGATTAACATTCAATAACATAATTCACACAAACAAACTTACATAATAAAATCCACCAAAATACGTATTAACTTGTTTTCCATCGCCATGTTTTCCATCATCATAAAAACAAACATTCTTCACAATATCCATAACATACACAACATAAACAAACTTGTTCTTATAACATCATCAATAAGAAAATATTCAATCAAAAAAATTTGACAACCTTCTTTCTATATTCCATTGAGCATCATATGCATGCTTACCACAAATCTTTTGATCAACTTTTTGATACTCATATGCAGCTTTCAACACATCATCACGCTTTGTATTAATCTCAGAAGTTAAAATTGTTGCTACATATTTCATTCTCAACTTTTCCAGAATTTTTTCTTGAGAATCACCTTTTTTTGGAAGACCATATTTCCATTCAGAACCTTTTTCTCCAAAATAACTCTCCATATGTCTCATAGAAAAAATACCACAATCCACTTTGTTATAAACTGTCCTCCATGGCATTATCAATCTTATTGGTGTAAGATTTTTATCGGCCATTTCATTTGCTTTAACATGATTGATCTCTTTTAGATACTTCAAAAAAAACTTTTTATAAAAATCATATATGATTTCACATCAGAAAAATACAAGTATTATAATTATAAAATATATCATACATGATTTCAAATCTAAATTATAAATATGATTTGAAACTTACAAGAGGTTTAAAAATTGCACCATACTTATCATCAAAATCAGCATCATCTGCACCATTATCAATAACCTCAAAAGCACGTTTCTTCAGATTGATAACAATAACATATATGTGCTTTTGCCCCAAAACAGGAAAAAATACCTAACATCAACATGTATAATATTAGAAAAAAAACATTAATAAATATATATATAAATGTATAAAAAAACTAAATATACCATATCAACATCCTTCAAAACCTTCAAGTCTCTATCACCAGAAACACTGCGAGAGAAGTTCTCCTTGAAAATTTTATATTTTCCAGTTTCATTCAAATGATTATATTCAAATGACAAAGTCTGTAATATAAAAAATCAGAAATGATTATATAATAAAATGATTATAAAAATATAAAAAGAAAAGAACAAAATAAAAACTTACAGTGTCAACATTCATGAACAATCTGAGTGGAGAATTAACAACATCTCTGAATTTCTCTTCATGATATAGTATATGAGACCATGAATCAAGAATACATACATGCAAATAGGTTTTTTTATAAAGACTTTCATAATTAGCTCTAAAACCCATAACATTTGTTTCCATAAGCAAGACAATATCCATGTATATATTTATTTAAATGTCATTAAAAATAAAAAATTATAATTATAAAAATAAAAAATTATATTTGAAAAAAATTACCCTGGATTTCCTTGAAGGCTGAAAAGCCATTCACAAACAACATTTTCTACTTGTGTCAAAATTGGTTTAAAATCAATTAACCTTTCCTTAAAAGGTGACTTATAAACATAAGAAAATTTCATTTCTCTTTTTCCTTTGACATCTACTACTGATGTTCCTTCTTCATTTATATCTTTAGGTTTGACATAAATTGGTTTTGATGGTCCTTCTAATGTACCCAATGGGGGTGCAAAAGAAACAGGACTAGCATCAATAACATCAACATTTGGAATAACACACTCTGGACCAACACTTGGTTTCTTCAAATAAACTCTATCCTTAATCTTTTTCTTTGTCATCCGTTCAGATGAACTTTTAACTTTGAGATGACTTCTTGAAACCTTCAGAATCTTGACTAAATCCAAGACTAAAACTTGGAACAGAAAACTTCTCAACTTTCCCTTCCACTTTGTCCTTTTTCCGTGATTGAGTCTCCTTTGAATCCTTCAATTGTATAATTTCTAAACCATCTTCAACAGTTTCTACCCAATAAAATTATAAAAATTATATATGAATAAACAAGAATTATAAACACAATCATATATGAATAAACAATAATTATAAATTAATTACCTCAATCTTTATTTTTATTTGAAAAATCTTCTATTGGTTTCCCTAAATCCAAATCAACTTCAACATCTTCACCTTCTCCATCATTCTTTGCTACAATAACTTTATCATCCTCACCCAAATTCACAGTCCCTAAATTATTAAAATCATAAGTGAATCGTCTATATAACATATTCATATATATTTTATGTATAAAAAAATACATAAATAAATACTTACTGTCATCAAATTCATTTTTTTCAAAACCAGTCAAATTCTCATTCACATCATCTTCAACTCGTTTCTGATTTATACAACCAGCAACCAAGTTTTCAGTACCTACAAAATTCAAATATAAAAAATTTAAAATCATATATGATTAAACTATATATAATAATAAAATATGCTTACCTTGATCCAAAGTTTTAAGAAAACTTTCAACAACTGGATCACAAATGAATTAACTAAAAGATACACCTTCCTGGCTATCAATTAGACCCACACTCTTAGTAACATTTTCAACAACATAATTTAAATTCATGGCCTCTTCTTCATTGAATCCACTTCCATTTCCTTGTTCATCATCTTTCATCATCTTTCTCATTCAACAAATCATTATTTTTACCAATATCATCCTCATATACATCATCATTAACATCACCTTTACCTTCAACATGTTTTTTACCAACATTGCCCTCATGTGGACCACTTCCATCCCCTTGACCACCAGAACATTTCCCTTGATCATCATCTTCAACATTTTCATCATCATTCAGAAAATCATTCCCATAATCTTCATCATTAACTTGAACAAAAACAGGTGTCAATATCAGTTATTTACTTTGTTGTGAAACATAATGGAAATCAAAACTTTTTGTGCTTAAATCTTCAACAGGAAATAATAATTTCCAATTGTTTAAATTTTGACTTTGAGGAAATTTCAACACTCCCTCGTCTATCTTTACAACAAGATCCTTTTTCAAATCCTCCATCTTCTGATACATATATGAAATTTTATTTTCATACACCTACATAAAAAAAATATACTTACAAATAAAATACTTGAACATAAAAATTCATAAATGAATACACTAATAAAATAATAAATGAATAAAACTATAAAATTACCTCCACAACACTAACTTTATTAACATCACAATCTTCTTCATCATCATCACATAAATCCTCATCACCATCAGATTCATCCTCATCACCACCAGATTCTTCCTCATTATATTCAGATTCTTGACATTCTTCTTCAACATATGGTTCATTAACATCTCCACATCCAAATCCTCCATTCTCTTGTAAAATATCCTTAAGAAACCTTATCTTCTCTGACGTCCAATAAAAAATAGTTGGACGTTTACGTGTGACTTGCAAATGATCAAACTTGAAACTATCCACATACAACAACTACAAAAAACATATATAACAAATAAGTTAACTTTCTAAAAAGATTTACTTATACAGTTTAATATATCATTAATCATAATATATATGAATAATCATATATGATTTATACAAATAAAATATATCATTACTTATAATATATATATATATATATATATATATATATATATATATATATAAATCATATATGATTATGCTGTCTGATATATAATAAATCATATATGATTATAAAATCATATACGTTTAAAAATAAAAACAAACATATTTTTAAAACTAAAAAGAATATTTAATATAAAAAATTAGCTCACGTACCATAAGGTATGTTGCTGGTCCATAAAAGAAAGAAGATTCTTTCTCTGGGTTGTAAACCTTCTCCGTCCTTACCAAACAATCGACAATGAAATCGCACCAGTCAATGCTACTTAAATCAGTATCTCTTCTGATTAAATACAATGGATTCAAATTACATTTTCCCATGCTTGTAGACTCACAGAATGTATTAATAAAAAGAACCAAAAAATTGATTTTAAAATTATCATCCGTTGCATTGTTCGCACAAGTTCATTCTTTAGCTGTTTCAATCTCAATTTATCAATATTTTCATATTGTTTCTTCCATTCAAACATACAACTCTCTTCATTATTCTCAAAAATGTAATCCATGTTTGAAAGTAATGAGCCACCAGATGGTAATCCTAACATCTCATGAACAAACTTACTATCAACACTAACTTCATAATTTTCAAACTCCACCTTCAAAGTTTCAAAATTAAAATGATCAAGAACATAATAAACAATCTTCAACGGTACATCAATCATCTTCATCCGTAACAAACTCCCAAATCTCATAGCCCTAACACAATCCTTATGTTCTCTACTTAAACCTTGAATAACACCCAACAATGAACCGTGTGAACATCTGTTCTTCAATGAAGGAAATTCTTTTATAACAACAACTTTTTTCTCTTTTTTCACAACTTTACTTTCTCTCTTTGGTTTCTTTGAAGATCCAGGGCGACTCTGAAAATCAGAATCATCTTCATCAGATAGTTCACGTTTCTTACTTACATTTTTGACCTTAACCCTCAGGTTCACTTTTGGTTGTTCAATGTGACAACCCGAAATTTTCATTTGTATAATCTCTACAGTCAAACACTTCAAATAATAGTCAAAAACATTTCAGTACATTTTTGGCCGGATTTAAGTCTGTTTGGGTGTTTATTTTATTTTCGTCAAACGGATAAATAAAAGGAAGTGTCGTTATGAGTGGTGTGTATCAAACAAAACAAACAACACCTTAGCAAGGTGTTTGCGGCCAAACAAGAGGAGTTTGGGCCGTAAACACCATTTTTCCAAGAACTCATGCATATAGCATGAGTTTACCCACTATTCCCTCACTTTACACTTTCCACCTCAAGAACACCCACCACTTTTCTCTCAAGTATCATCACACACTTCTTCAAATCCGCCAAAATGTAAGTGTTTTCCTTCCTAGATTCGTTCATACAACACTTAATCTAGTGTTTATACATCATTTCATCCATGGATTCTTGATTTTTACTTAGATCTTCAAGTGTTCTTCAAAACACCAAGAACACCAAGAACACACACTAGTGTTTTTGGGTCCTAAACACTCTTACAAGCTTCCTATAAGTAAGTACACTCCTCCTATCTAGTTATTTGCTTATGATACTTGCTAATCCCTTGGAAGAACATCAAAATCCCCAAGAACATATGTGTTTACGGTCAAGGGAGATCCTTGAACCGTAAACACCATCAAATGGTGTTTTGGTGCCCCTAACACCTTCTATGGTTTGGATAAAAGACTAGAACCTTGCATGCATGAACTAGAAACACCAAAACACGAAATGGTTGGAGTAACCATGAGTTTACGGCCGTAAACTCATGGGTTTACGACCATAAACCCAAGTGTTTACGACCGTAAACTCCCAATGGTGGTCCAAGGACCGTAAACTCCAATGGTGAGTCCTTTTGTGCCCTAACCACTTCTTAAGCCTTTGATTCAAACTTAGAACCCTTCCTTGTGAGATATGAGACCTTAAAACACACAAATGCACCATTACCATGAGTTTACGGCCGTAAACTCATGGGGGAAATGGTCCAGAAACCGTAAACGCATATAAGGGCTACCAAATGAGGAGTAAACTCCAAGGTGAGGCCATACTCTCCTTAGATGCAACCCTTAGCACTCCTAGCACTTGAAACAAAGTGTTTTCATGCATTAGAGTGTCTTTACTTGCTTAATTAGTGATTAAATAACTAATTAGATACATTTATGTATCACCACATGTTACATATGATCCGTGTGTGTGTTCAAGTCCTCACTTGACACCTAGCATCCTACCCGGCACTTCCATCCACTCCACTAACTGCAGGTGAGTTCATACCCCTAAATCAACCTTTTAAACGATTTTGAATACTTTTATGGGGGGGGGGGGAAATACAAGTTGAACTGTTATAGTTATGATATCAATCACATGTGATTAATAACTAGAACAGACTACAAGATTTGTTGCTACTTTCAGATTTCCATCAAACTTTGGGTTTTTTTCAAGTGTTTCAAACCTTTTATCAAATTCTTTAAATGCTAAAACTGTTTTCAAACTCTTTTAAACTTGTTTTATCTTCAAAACCATATCTATACTAATATATTTATATAAGTAAGACTTGAAGGACTTAGGACTGATAGCTCACCTTATTTCCTGTTCCTTGTTTGGTTGTGGACTTAGGGTATTCTGTTATTTGTCCGACTGTCATTGAATTCTTAGTTATATATCATATATATTTGTGTTGGATATAAAAGTCTTCACTTCAGTTCAGTACCTTTTGTGTAACAAAGGCATGCAACCAAAATTACTACTTAACTATAATAGGTATAGTTAAGGATTACTACTCATTACTACTATTACCATGACACCTACCAGAGTCATTACAGTTATGAGTCAATACATGCTAAATACTATACAAAGAGAATACTATATACTATACAAGAAGAACACTCTATATAATATACCAGAAAATACATTATACAATATACAAGAGAATATACTATAATTAGAATGTGACATACTACTTCTCGATACGACACTTCACAGTGGTATCACCGTGTAACCAGAGTCTCCTGGAGGGAGAGAGGGCATTGTGTGTATAGATCTATACGGGACAAACACTCCCACATCCCGACTGCTAGCTACAGTCCCAGCCGAAAGGCCAAGGGGTGACAAAATGTCACATCACTACATATGACTCGGAGGGTCATCAGTTATTCGATCGTCAATCAGCATGGTTACATACGAGTTCACATTCAGACCTTTAATTAACACTTTAAGAATTAAAGGCAAAACGGATTCCCCGAGGTGTATTGTACATTTTATACTACCTGGAGTCTGCATTTTCATTACATTAAGCCGGCAGTGACACTGCTAGGGTAAAGCATTATTTTCCCAATTACTTTATATGAATGAAGTCTAAAACTATATTTTTATACTGATAGTTTCACTGGGAAAACTTTTACATTTCAAAGGATCAAACATGCAACCAACCGGGTCTTGGTAGAAGACTACTTTTACTGGAAAATATAGGATTTTCTAGGGAGCATACTACTTTCAAACATTGATATCAACTATTATACTACATGGTTGTAATCATTTTTATACAAGTAATGACACAAAATACTTATGAACTCACCAGCTTTATGTTGATACTCGCTTTCAACATAACTTGTATTCTCAGGTCATCAGTAGACAGGTACAGATGAAGCTTTTGAGAAGATGGAGCACACACAAGACTCATCTTTTATTTTGATTATACTTTTAGTGTCTTACAAACTGTACAGAACACGCTTGTATTACAATTATTATATTAATGCAATGGATGTTGTTGCTTGTCTTTACTATTATGCATTGCTATGATATTGTACATGACGTCCTCCACCCCAGAACGTTTCCGCCGTTCTCGGTTTTGGGGTGTGACATTCAATAACTGTTTTTTTAGATTTCTTTGACCGTGTTTACAAAACCTCATTGGCCTTTTCTTTTTTAGAACATGAATGTGTCTTCCTTGAGCTCTCTAAAGTATATTTTTTACCTAAAATTTTCATTAGAAACCTAGTGTTAGTAAAAAATAAAACATAATACATATAATCAATTGCAAATCAAGAAACATAGTCACTTGTGATTGCAAAAAACATACCCTTATCATTTTTAACCTTTGAATTTTTAACTGAAATATCTTCAATTTTCTTCTCATCAACAGAAGCATTTACTACAAAAAAATTAACATAACTAGTAATTAGTACTAAACAAAAATGCATATGACTAATAAACTATGATTTCAAATCACACAGTCACTAATGCTTATAAAAACATACATTTATCATTACTATTTACTAATTATTATAAACAAAACGTATAAAATCATTTATGATTAGAACTAAAAATAAACATACAACTAAATCAATGTTCAATAAACTAAAATCACAAAATCAGTTATGATTACAAAAAATACCTTTAAAATTTCTTCTCTTCGAAATTTTCTCTTTAACTTCCTCAGAAAGATCTTCATATTAACGTTTAATACATAAAAATACATAAACACAAAACATGATAATCAATTATGAATAAAAAAACTAAACTATGATTTTAAATCACACAATCACTAATGATTATAAACACATACATTTATCATTACTATTTACTAATGATTATAAACAAACGTATAAAATCATTTATGATTAGAACTAGAAATAAACCTATAACTAAATGTTATGTTCAATCCACTGAAAAAATAACAAAATCAGTTATGATTACAACAAAAACCTTTAACATTAAGTTATATGTTTATTTCTAGTTCTAATCATAGATGATTTTATACGTTTTTTTAACATCGATTTTTTGAACTGTACCTTCGGAAATAACAACATTTCTACCGCATTCGATATTTTTTTGATTTTTGAACTTTTTTCGAACATAATTTCTTTTGAAATCCTTATCTGTGAAAATATAAACAACTTACATCAAAAACCAACACAAACAAAAATCATAAAAAAACAGATCAACTCTAAACGAGAAAATAATCAAAATCAAGTAAAAGTGACGAAAAACTACTAAATCAAAACAAAAAACATCATTATCAACATAAAACTACAGTTAACTAATTAATACAAACATGCATTATCAATAAAATTAAAAATCACTCGCATTCTAACCTTTCATTTCCATTAACGAAGATGCGACTTCGTTTATATTTTCTCCTGAAGACATTTACCAATTTTCCAAACTTAATTTGAACAGTTAATAAACAAAAACTAGGCAAAATGCGACAAAGAAAGAAAAAGAGGGTTTTCGTGAGAGTTCCAATTGAGATTTTGATCGAGAAAGAAAGAAATGGTATAGGCGGTTACAGTATCATAGCCTGCAAACTGATATGAATCTTTGTAAAATTACAACAATAGCCCTA